TTGTATTACATTCACCCAAGAGCATGTTTCCAAACAAAATGAATGCAATTCTTAGACGCTCCGTGCAGAAGCTTTCACGCCTCCGATGTCTGAAGCAGAGTTTAGCTGCATGCATCTTATTCAACTAGTTGCGTGCAAAACTTGCAAAAAGCTTCCAGAGCGCATTGTATGCACAGTGTAACTTTTAGAAAAAAAACGTTTCCCAGGTGATTTTTGATGGAACTTTCCAAAACGCGGGATCCTTCTTTGAAAAGAAAGTTCTCTGCAAGTTCTCTGCAAGTTTCCTGCAAGTTCCGCAAGTTCCCTACAAGTTGAAGTGCGCTCAAGTGCCCCTCAACTGCCCCTTAACTGCTCTCAACTGCCCCTCAACTGGCCTCAAGTTGCCCTTGAAGTACCTCTCGACTGCCCTTCAACTGCCCTGAAGTGCGCTCAAGTGCCCTCAACCACCCCTCAAGTGCCCCTCAAATACCTCAGGCCCCAACTGCCCCTCAACTGCCTCTCAACTGCCCCTCAAGTCTCAAGTGCCCCTCAACTGCCCCTCAACTGGCCCTCAAGTGTCTCAAGTGCCCCTCAACTGCCAACTGCCCCTCCAGTGCCCTCAACTGCCCCTCAAGTGCCCTCAACTGCCCCTTAAGTGCCGCTTGAAGCCGCTCCACCCCCTTCAAGTTCTTTTCTTAAAGCCTGCAATTTTCTATGTCTAGTGGTTGTCGGAGTACTGGTAGTGATAAATGAAGAATGATCGTGGGAAGTCCATCCATTAAACAAGGACAGGGTCTGGATTTGCGAGCAGAGTTAGGGGCAATTTTGTGAGCTGGACGCAGCCCCCTCTAATAACAGTAATTATTGCTTGGATTTTATGCTTTCAGATTTGAGTTTTGCGCATTGATTTTTCATTTTTCAATATTGATTCAAACGTTTATGGTTTTTAAAAAGTGTTTACGGAAGTTTTGGTACTGATATTAGCGAGGAACAGCAGAAAGTACTTTAAAGTCAAGTAAGAGTAAGGTTGCAGGAAAGACGGAGTCTTTGCTCAGATAGCACGGACGGAGTGCAACAAAACACAGTAGTGGAATTTGTGGAATATGTTGCAGAGAGACGGACATTGTTTTTGCCGGCATGTTGTGCAAAAGCCACGTCTAGGTCTGTTATGCTTCCCGCAGCACTGTAAGGCAAGGATCTGGGGCAGTGCTCGCGCACGGAGTTCCATAAGATGTTCATGTGGTCACTGCTGCTGCTGCGCCTGCCCCGGCCACATTTTTTGCTTGGTAGTTTCCAAGATGGCAGAGCTGAGTTCCTAGGAGACTCTTCACCCGATTGCAATTCTGATGAGATAAGAGCCAGAGGAAAAATTTAGCTACCTCGAAAGAAGGGAGCTAAAAGTCAGCACTACACAAAAATGGTTTCTCAATTGTTTGAACTGCTCCACTTTTGTCTCTCGCCAAAGATCTGTTCTCAAAGTGGCCTCTACGACAATCCGAAAGGATTGTAACAAGTCTTTAGCAGTTCTTTGCAAACAGGCTGGTTTTTTTTGGCCTACGGAAAATTTTGTTTGACTCCGGGCTCGGATTTTGAGGGTATTTGGTTTTTGTTCAATCCCGCCCGGAGTTGGATCTCTCCAAGCCCGGCCTTGAAGATTTCTTCTTAAGTTTTTAAGGTTCTTTTCAACGCCTTCAAGGGCCGGTTTATGGTTTGATCAAAGGTTTAGGCTTAAGTAGTATTGATGCTGCAAGGCGCTTTGGCTTCCGGAAGTTCAAAAGTTCTAACGGTCTGAAGGCTTGAGGATTTCGGGGATGGTGGCTGTTTTTTGGTTTTCCCTAACCCAGGCCCGAAGGTCAGATCTCTCTCGAGGCATGCCTACTTTTAAATTTCGAAGTGGTTTCTCGCGCCTCCAAAGGGCCGGGCTTGCGTTGTGGGTCCAGGGTTTAGGATTTGCGTTCTTCACTTGGCAAGCCGGTTATAAGGCTTAAAGTTTCTAGGGCTTTTTGGTTGGAAAACAAGTCCACAGTTGGGTGTTGGCGGTGGAGGCTCCTGTATTTCAGGAGATTAGGGCAGCGGTTCCAAGCCTAGAATCTACAGTGGCGCGCCTTTGGATTCTGCAGGCTCCCATGCAGGGCAGAGTAAGAGATCCGGCTTTGAATGTTGAGCTTCAAGCACAAGGTTTCATAAATCTGAGAAAGTTCAATTTCCACTGGCCAGACCTATTCACGAAGAGTGCAAAAAACAGCCTTTTTTATGAATAGGGAAGTCTCTAGAAAAGGAACTGTAAAGCATTAAAAGACATTCGTCTCCCTTCTTGAAGTGGAGTAGCTGATATCTTAGAAGGGCAAACTCTCACGCCAGACCTGCCCTGCTTTTATCCCAGCTGCTTTCATGTGCCCTCTGCTGCCACTAAGGTGCAGAAGATGTTGACAACCGTGCGACCCGTTCGAACGAAGGCGGACTGTGGGCGGCAAAATTTGTAGAGTTCATGAAGTCTTGCTTTAATGAACAAGGAAGCCAAGCAGGAAAGGATTCCCCCAGAACTTCGTCTTCGAGGATTCTTCGAAAGGCAAGGAAGCCTTTCAGGCCACTCTGCGGAGCCAATGCGTCCTCACCAGCAAAACCTCAAGGCATCCCTGCATGAGCAAGTTCAACGCAGTGACGACCTTCTGGACGAACACTGGTCCAGCCAGTGCATCATGACAGCTTGCTTGCTTCAGGGGTGGGCGTCCTACGCGGACCACTTCTGGTGCCCTGACGACTGTGTGGCCGCCCTTATGGAGGGCGCCTCCACCAGAGCCGCCGCCCTGGACAAAATGCAAGGCAAGTTCATGCTGCCTTCGCATGATTTTTCAATGTTTGTCATTGACAGGCCTGGAACGCTGGTGGGCTTCGCCTGTCTTGTGATTATTGACTATTGGCACGAAGTCTGTGCAGCCTTTGGGCAACAACGATGAGCAGAGGGCAGCAAGAATCGTTGCGCGCTGGGGTAACGTGAAGGAGGAGAAAGTCGTCCTAAGCCCTTTGGCGCAAATCAGATGTGCCTTGGGCTGTTGCGTGGATATTGTGACCAATAAAAAGTGGAGACAGCTTGGAAGAAGCCATCCGACAGTGTAACACTCAAGTTGCGGGCCTGCATCTCCTAGGTGATCTTAGGTGCAAGTTGTGCGATGGATTATATCGTGGTAGATTGCTCTAAGTCTCAAAGATCCAGGCCAAGGTTGTTGAGCCCTGAATGCGCCAACTGCAAGACCATGAATCCAACCAAACACTAGGAACCCTCAGTACTGACTTAACCCTCAACTTCGAACGTTTAGATGTCGAGGTTTGTCTCCGCCCGACTCCCGAGCGGGGCTTCTGGATGCCATCTTTCGTCGCCCTTCACGGGAGGTACTTTTGACCCGTGGGGGACTCCAAGAGTAGAGCCTGCATGGCCACTGAGGTCAGTTGTCTGGCCTCTTCGATGCATCCGAATGAGAGCCTGCCCGCGTGGTTCCCCAAACTGTTTGACTATTGCCTTCGTACAGAGCGCTTGCAGAGGCCAAGGAGATCCTGGAAGAGTACATGCGCCATCCAGAATTTTTGAAGTCTGTCTGAGGATCAACAGAATGTTGGCTTGCTGAGCACCTCAATTGCGTCCAATCCTGAAAAAATTCCTTTACAAAGCCTGTCATGTCAAGAACCTTGGGTTTAGGGATTGAGGGTTTTATGTTAATAGCTTTCACGGTCGCTAGGTTTATATAGGCATGCTTAGTTTTTAAATGTTCAAGTTTGGGTTTTGAGAGAGAGCTGGCGAGACGAAGTGCATGAGTCCAGCTCAGTATTCGTGCTAAAGGCAGACACGTGTAGGCTTCAAGGGTCTGCGCTGGCAGCAATCCCGCGCGGTCATTATGTAACTGCATGAGTTAACTCATATGGAAATTCATCAAAGATGCCGAAGGAAATCTACTCAAGTCACAAAGTGGCCATGTTGTGCTGTGCTGCCGCTTTTGCCCCAGCTGCGGCTGCTTAGATCACGATACCGAACCCCGCATGCGGACAACTGTGTGGAGCTCGGTTTCGGATGATACCCTGCCCGAGATCTCAAACTTGTCGGGAATCAAGTTTCAAGGTTGAGGTTGCTGGTGCACGGTTTGGGGTTCAGGGTCGAGGTCTATTATTGTTTCAAATTTTGGTAATGCTGCTTCATGTGTTGTTGACGTATGGATAACAAGTAATGCGATTGTCAAGGTTTGCATCAGGAATTTGGACACGAGCTCTAAACCCTAAACCCCCCCGAGCCCGTTGTTGATGGTTCGCGTTTCTCCGGAGGATGGGCTCAGGGGTCACCAATGAGGGGTTACTTGGGAAGGCAAAATGCGACCTTGTTTGGGTCAATAGCGGCATGAAAGCATGTCATTTCCCACACGTAAGTTCAAAAACAACTTGGTTCCCAAAGAGCACGCTTCAGACCTCTGCGTTTCGACTTTAGGCCCTGATTAAACCCTAAATCACTCTTGGGAAGATCTGTTAACTGTTGACTAGGTATAGTACATGATAATTACACGTAAGGCCACCACAGCTAGCTTGCATATACTTGTTACGTCTTGTTTCTTGCAATAAAGCTTTGCTGAAGGATGTGTAAGTCAAACCTTCGCTAACTGAGTTGATGAGCTTCGGTTGGGATACTGCCCCAATTACTGCCCCAATTCAGTAACAAATTGGACAATATTCATCATATGCAGATATCACGTCCTTGATGTTATCGTATTCAAGATTTTCATTGAGTGCAGCTGTGCTTTCGCGTACTATGTTGACCCATACATTCCCGGGCAAGCAATTTCATTCGCTCGCCTTCGGGGTGAAGGTTCATGGTCGTTGTGTTGCATACGCAAGCACCATGCCCGTTTGCGGCATGGACCTGCAAGGCTTGTTCGAAGACAGAACCCTCAACACCAAAATTACAACTCAAGCCCTCAAGTATACACCTTACAGCCTCAGCCTAAACCGTTCTCGCAAGACCGTTCACCCCAAACCCTCAGGCAATCTGATGAAGCCGATCGCGGCCGGCGCCCTATCAGGATTTGGAAATCCAGTCAAGTTTCCCAAGCCGGATATGTCCGCCAACGGATTCGCACTACTGCAGGGAGCGCTCTAGATTGGTGGTGGCTTCGAGTTTTGTAGGGAGGAGATTGCTTGAGCAGAGCGTTCAAGCAGAAATTGCAGTTTTCCCACATATGCGGAATGCATCACCTGCACCTTGTGGGATTAGAACTGATTGTAAATCGTGTGGGGGCTATCGTGCATCAGACTTTCTGAAAGGTGGAGGTCCTGCCAGCAAAGGTTATTTGTTTTAGTCTGCATGTTTTTTGGCTGTTGGTTTCTTGAAAAGCCGCCTTGTTACAATGCCATGTTGCATAACAGGCTAGCCCGGCCACCTCTGAAGAATTTTTTTTGAGCGTGGATCATAGTCGTGCTGGGTTGTCCACTTGACTATCTTTGGGTAACCTTGGCTTCTTAGCTCCTGCTAAACCTTAAAACCAAACCCTGAACCCCTAACCCTAGACCCAAACCAACCTAGACCCAAACCCCAAACCCTAAACGGTTTAGCCGTACATATCCCTACCCTGTTGGAACCGGTCGGGGACCAAACCTGAACCAATTCTTCCCACGGTATGAACGTTCATACCCTAAACCCTAAACGCTCCCAAAAACCAACCCCACACCTTAAACCGTGGCTCTGCTGAAGAAGCCAGGTCAGACTTCCATGTTGTTGCTCAATACTCCTGTGCTTCGCCATCACCGTTTGTGCCACGGAGCACTGTGAGGAGGACGGCGAGCCCATCAAACTAATACATAAGGTTTATAGGGGTTATATAGGGGTATAGGGCCCAATAATGGAGTGGAAAAGAACATGGAAATTGAAATGGAAACCATAGGAGTGGGTGCATAATTGAAGGATGTTGCAGGGCTTGTTTTGAGGCTTTCTTACAATCAGGGTACGATTTTGGGGATCCTTATGACAAGAATCATGGCATCTTGGGATCCATATTGAGGCCCCCCATTTCTGAAAAGAAAGGGATGAACCCTAAGCCCTAGTTGAACCCCAAACCCTAAACCAGGAGGATGCTCAGACTCATTTCTCATTAACAAGAGTCGTGGCATGTTCTCACAAAAAGCTGGGCAACCACCGGATGTTTTTTCTGCAATGCTAGTGGCACCACACATCTGAGCCCACATGGGTAGTTCCGTTGATAAGATCCCCATTTGTGTAACCCCCCTAAATAACTGGTGCCGTCATATAACCCATATCCCAAAAGGGCACATATTTGCCAAAACAAGCCACATGAAGGCTGTACAGCGCCATAATTTTCTACAGCGCCCGAGAGACGGCCAGAATATCTTTCCAAGTCCTGCAAAGCTATAGTGCATGTGAGGAAACACAGCCTAGGAAATTCTCTGAAGGTTCAGGAAACCTTGCAAACCCGACAGAGCCAAGGGGTTATCTCACAACCCTAGATGAACCCTATATAAACCTAAATGACGCCTAAAGGGGTTTACCCTATATGTTAATCCGAAGCAGCCGCAGCCAGAGGATCTCTCAGCCTCCTGCTCACTGGATGTGCAGCTGCTCCAAGTCAGCCAGGTTGTGCTTGAGCCAACGGTAATCAAGAAAAGGTAACCCAAGAATTTGGGGGCTTCCCAAAATTAGGAGTACCATGTTGAGAGTCCCCATAACAAGGATCATATTAGTGGGGGTCTATATTTGGGTCCCCCTATTTCAGTTTTGCCAGACACATTGGTTGACATAACTGTTTGACAGTGGGATTGGTGATTTGGCTTCATGATGTAGGGTTTAGGGCTGAAGGTTGCAATGCTAAATCAGATTTCTGGACAACATTTGCTCTCCCCCTCGGAGAACCCGATGGGACGCGGAGTCATTAATCGCAAGAAAAACCCGACTAGTGGCTCGTCCGCGCAACGACGCATAGATCAGTTGCAAGCTCTTACCTAACCAAGTACTCAGGTCTAAGAGGCTTCCAAAGGAGACAAACCACACTCTAAGTGAGAGCGCCTGCGGCGGCAGGCACTTGACGTTCCCGCAGAGCGCGTAGAAGCTCCGCGAGAAGACGTCCACCACTTGGTTTTTGGCACGTTGGCCTTGCCAAATGCGAGTCCTGGGGGGACTTTGCGCGTGCAGTCTGAAATCTACGAAGAAGATCCACTTGTGACACATTGTAAGCTAAGATGAACCCCAAAGTTTCATCGCTATTGAAAGGAGAAGTCATGCAAAGAATTCCACGTATCACGGCCGAAGAGAGTTTCGGCCCTGTTTTCCTCACGCTCATCATGATGACTAGCAGGCGACTAGCAGCATAATGTTTATGTTAGCGGCTTGATCAATTTCTTAAAGTTCTGGCAGAACTCCACGGAGACCTTGACCCCAATCTCTGAATTCGAAGGTCTTTCCGCTGCGTACCCTGCATCGCAAGAGAATTAGTTGAATATGTCTTGCCAAGGAGATGAAACATTCATTAATCGCCAGGACGCCTTCTTTAATCCCGAAATCCTCATATCTCCAAATCCCACAAGGCACCCTACATGTGGTGCCCACCCTAGTGACCTAATAAGTTTTGCAAGGTTTCTCATTTGTCTCTAGGCAGAACTGCCCTCGAATCGTCGCATCCGACGTGGTTTCCAAACGTTAGGCTTGAGCCCGTAAGCTGAGGACCACAAAACCTGTCATGAGCATCCTAAACCTAACGTATGCGCCTTAGGCTTTAATCCGAAGCCCAAGACCTTGAGTACTCCTCAAGCCCCAAAGCGGAGATCCTAGACCCAAAGCCGCAGATCCTGAATCCTGGGTCCAAGTCCCTAAACCTAAGCTCTAGACCTTAAGCCCCGAACCCTGAGTGAGCCCTGGATCAACTTGAGGTCAGAGACCTCTTCCACGCCATCGGCTCCGCAGAAGCAGCAGCCACCCTCCAACCCGGGCCCCCCGACTTAGATTTTAGAGCTTTAACTTTGAGATTTGGAGTTTAGGGTCACGAGTCTAGTGACATAGAGTTTAGGATTAAGCGTTGGCAAAGCCCGAGAGCCGCCTTCCGCTTTGAGCTCCATTTTAGGGATAGTATCGGCTCCACTGGGCTTCGTTGCGTAATTCTTCCTGAGGGTTTAGGGCCTTTTGAGTGTGGGCTTCAAGGCACCATGTGGTGACTAATACAGTCATCCATTGACGGAGCGATTTCCGGTGCCGCTACCCTTCTTTGGATAAGCTTGCTAAGTTCTGTGACGGTTTTTCATTTTTCTGTGTGGTGTGGGATGAGGGTGCAAGAATTTTGGGGATCCCAGGCCCATTCCGATAAATGAGGCGAGCTGCATTTTGCGAAGGTGAACAGATATATGCTGACTTCCTTCAGGACAAGTTTGCAAGCACTTCAGAACAGCTTGCCATACCACTTGAAGTGTAAATACGAAGCTTGTGGATGAACTACAGGGTTCCCAATCTGACGAAGACTAGGTAGGTAGTTCCATCTTAACTCCAAAACTTGGAGTTTCGTCATGTTTGGTAAGATCCAGCATTTGGGACCCCAGTTTCGGCTTGATGTGAGGCAGGCCTTGATTTCGAGTCACCCTCGCGGGCATGAACTGCGAGATGGGTGGGCGAGACCCAAAACGGTCACTCCCAGACCTTTACGTACAAGAAATTCTAGACTGAAATTCCCTAGTTGGGGTACAATGGAGCATCTAGAGATCTTCAACCCTAAGCCCTACACAGTTCTGGCCTAGTTACCGCATGCTCGTTCTTCAGTCTTCCTCAGGATCACCTGCTCCCTTACGCACCCGTCCAAGGCTTATCGCAGAGAGAGCCGTCGAGGATCGATCCGAGTAGTTTACTTCTTGGAGTTGTCTGGAATTAGGGGTACGATTACTATTATTACTGTTACAATTAGTATTAATTACTACCAATACTATTATGAATATTAAAATTAAAACTACTACTGACTTGCTGGGTTTCGGGGTTGTTGTTGCGGGGTCCAGGTTGAGGCGTCAAGGGTCTGGGTCTAGCGGTCAGCCTTGTCATTGTGGGGTTGAGTGTTGTAGTGTAGTGTGTAGAGCTTTTGCCAGTTTGGGTCGAGGGTGGGGGTTGTACTGTACTTACCCAGAGCGCTGGGATCTCAAAGGGCTGTGCGCAGTTTTCGTTTTGTTTTCTTGGGCATGGTGTTTGGAAGCATTTTTGGAGTCTCTCCCCATGCGCATCCTTGGGGTCTCAAACTAGGACCCCGAGGCAGAGAAGGAAGCTGCAGACTTGCAAGGAGCTGTTAGTCACCGCCGCATCCAGAGAGAATCGGGTGGCATTAGTGCAGAAAACGGCATGGGACCCAGCTCATGGTCGTGTTGGTGAGAATGGGCTGTACAGGGACTTCATGGTACGTCTGCTGAAGCTTGATTGGCCCTCGAAGCTGCTCTCTAAGTCAAGACTCTCCATTCCCCGAACAGACTGGAAAAGGAAATGCAAAAGTTGCTCCCAGATTCTTTGGGTCGCAGCGGTTCATGTGGTTGGGAAAAGGGCAGTGGGACCCCATTTTGGGGTTCCATGCTAGTTTGGGGGAGGGTAAGAGCATCATCCTGCATGAAGGCTCCTTAGCTCACCGGAAAATATGTCCGCCCTGGGTAGCCTGGTACTCGCTAAACAGAAATGCTGGTACCTTCATTGTTGAAGTTCAAGGTCTGTACCGCATATTTGTCCAAGTCTTGCGCACTCTCAGTTGGGAATGGGGCAAGAGGTTCCTAGGAAACACCCTAGGAATTTCTGCAAGATGTTGTAGGGTTGATTCGGGCAGCAGTTCCCAAATTCCCGACTGCTAACCATGCAAGAGTCAGAACATCCTTCAGCACCTAGGCAGCCGGAGCGGTTGGTACCGAAACGATCTGCGTGATCGTGCCGCGGGCTTGGGGTCAAGACTTGCTGCTTGTATGATGGTAGGGAATGAAGGGATGGAGAAGGACATGGAAACTATTTGAGTCTTGGGGGTTATACAGTGTCTACCACAGGGATCAACTTTTACGTTCCCTGCCAACAACCTGTGAGAAGAGAGCCGTGTGCCCTGAGCGAGTGGGTGGGTGTTGGTTTGGGTGTTTCGCAAAATTGGCGGAACTTGTGACTCTGGGGGCATACGGCGGTTTGTTGCACAGGGAACATAGGTGTCGCCAGTGAGAGATGTGTAGGGGCATTTCTTTCTTAGAAGCTCCATTTTTATTCGTACTTGGGGAGAGGGACCCGAGAAAGACTTTTAACGGGAAGCTTTGCAGGAAGCCCTTGAAGGCGATGAAGGCACATGGGGCCTCCAAAGATTGAGTACGTACACTTTCCCAGTGAAGAAGTCTTGAGCTTCCTCTGGCTTACACTGTAAGTTTTCAGCCTCAACTTATCATGGGAGGTTGTCTGGCGCCATCAACCCACAGCTTACAGTGGTATTTTCATCCCGCATCAAGCAGGAAGCGTTCTCCAAATACGCGAAAAGCCTCAAAGCCTGATAGACATTCCAAAAAAGTGCGCCCAGAGCCTCTGACCCTCAGCCCGGGACTCGCATACCGGACACAAGACACGAAGATTCAACGGGGTCGTCGCTTGAATGCCGACACTGTTGAGGGAAAGAATCCTGCATGACCCGGTATAGTAAAATGACCACCCTGGCAATTCTGGTGGTGTGGTTCAGGGTCGTGCAGAGTCTTGTCCATCAACATCATCAGCCCCAAACTTGGGGTTTGCCAGAGATCCCCAGGGGTGCCGTTCTGCTAGCGGTGCTTGTCTGCCTGATCTTCTGCTGCTTTAGGCTGGACGGGAGAGTTTAACGACCTACTGTGGAATCTAAGAGGCTTTGTGGTTTCATGAGTCTATAGAGGCTGATTCGCACTGGTTTGAATTTGATTGTGGTTTTAGGCACGTGTCAAGATCGCTAAAGGAGGATGGAGGTCCCCCCATACTCCCTAATCCTCCTCCCCAAGGATCCCCAGTGTCTACCCCCTCAGGCCGCTGGACCGCACACCCAGTTTCAGGATGTAGTTTCTAAACACCGGTACCTTTTCCAGGGCCTTGTCATGAGCATCATTAGAATGTATTCGGGTCTATGTTTGAGTCCCTATTTGTGGACCTCCCATATCCTGGGGGCGCTGCCCTGAGGGTCTTGGGAGGCTCACCTCGAGGAAAAGAGCTCCCCTTGCACCCTAAACCCCAAAGCCCAAACTCTAAATCCAACTGCAGCCGGAAAAGGTCCAATGAAGATAAAACCATATAAAACCTAAATCCAAACCCCTCAGCCCTACACCCCTCTACCCTAAGCCTTGAATCGTGAAGTCCCAAGATGCTAGAGTCAACTCTGGAGCGACTTGAAAAAACCGGGGTCAAGACAGCAGATCGAAAGCATGTTCTGGCTGGTTGCAGGCCATCTGTGTCCTACGAGGAGGCTGTGGGGACCCTTGCTGGGTTTGGCGTATGAACCTCCGGGGTCCTGCAGCTTTGGACGCAAGGTGAAAAGGGTTTGAGCTCGTGAGCTGGCCAGGACAAGATATGCTGCCGGCTCTAAAGGGCCCGTCGTCACAGGAATCCAATACTTTCTTGTAGGAGTCCCACCTTAATTCTCACAGCAGCTTCAATGGATTCCAGTCCCTCAATGACTGTTTCGCATGGGCCTTCCTGTGAGCACTGAGTCACGGGATTAGTGCGTGCTTGCTTAAGCCTCGGACCCTTACTCTGTTTCATGATGCTCTTGCGTAACCAGCAGTAATAGCTCAGTTGTAGATGTTCCCATGGAAGTTTGATATTCGCTTGCCTGTTTCCAATCCTTTTGCAGCCACATGTAGTCTCCCAGGTCAATGTTGACAGGAAGCGTATGCTGCTTGGAGGGTTCCCCTAGCAACGCTCCAAGACTTTCCCACACCCATGTGCACAACCCTGAGGGTCTCAACCAGCAAGTCCTGGTCACCCCCTGATTTAGTAGTGCCTAAATAAGCCCAAGATGTACTATAGTTTTCATTTTCCTTTCCATTCCTCCACTCCCTACGAACCAGAGGTAAGTAAGCCGGGCGACTTCTGAGGCCTCCAAGGATGGATCCTTCCTCCCCCCTGGAGCTTCCACACTGCAGCGGCCGAGGCCCTGGCAATTTCGCTAATTAAGAGGGTTCTATAGAGCCGAGATTAGGTTATACAAGGTTTTATTAGGGTATATAGGGGCATATTTGGTATGTTTCAGGGCTAGGGTTTAAGGTTTATGGGTTATCACTTGGGACGTTCAAAGTCAAAGGCTTTGGGGTTTTGGGAAGCTTTCAGTGGTAGACGGCTGTCAGCTTAGGGTTTCGGGTCCACGGCGTAGGGTATGGGGCTCAGGGACTGGGGTTTTAGGGATTCTGTGATTATCTCCTCCAGTTTGGCGCGGTGCCTGGCTTGTGGGTTGTATCTTCTGGAGATCTAGAAGCATCAGGGACCTCAATTTTAAGGGCCAATGGCATAGTTTCAACACGGTCAACTTCCGAATCTGAGTTGCTGCCTTTGCAAAATCATCAGGACCAGTAAGAGGATCTTGGCACCCCACTCCCAATGTAATATGATAATCATGGGTCATTATACCCTTTCGTCTAATGGTATTGTACTGGGAGCATTTCTTAGTAGGGGGGTGGGATGCTTAGTATCAAGGTGTAGTGATTACGAGTTTGCTGACACAAAGACACAGCCCAAAGACGGACATCAAACACAGAGGATCTTGGCCAATCTTGGGCGTTTCCTGGCCAAACAAAACTGTGCCTCGGGAGGGTTGTCCGCATTTGATAACTGGTGGCACCCCAAACCCGAAACTGTATGCCTTCAAACCTTGAATCCTGAAGCCCTAAAGCACTAAAGCCCGAAAGTCCCACCCAGGCCACGCAATCAGGATTGCTGCTGAGGAGGACCAACCTGCTCACCTAGCATTTGCTTGAAAAAGGAGTTTGAGTGGAACCAAGCAGGCCCAGTGAGCTCAGTACTGTATGCATGCAAGTAGGCATACCTCAGAATGAGAGAGTTACAGACAAGGAGAGCTGCGAGAAGAACATGGTAGTTTCCCCTAACTAGGGGTATCCCAATATGGACCCAAAATGCTACAGCCCTTATTTGGTGACCCCCAAAAAGGTACCACAATTTGGGGAAACTCCCAATCCAATCCCTATAATCCCCTATATACTCACAGCTTCCATGCCGTTTTCCATTTCTCCTGTGCATTTGATTTTCCATCATTGGGGGGTAATACGACCTAACCCCAAACAGATGAAATGAAAGCTGGGGGTATCAAGGGGATTGTAGAGATTAGAATGTTGCTGTTTATAGTCGCACCACGTGGGTGTCGCCAGTAATTCGGGGTCCCTTCTTGGGGGGCTGTGTGTGATGGGGATTGCTGTATTTTGGGGTCGAAGATGTGGAACCTATTGTTCGGAAATTGCACAGTCATTTGATTTTGTTTGATGCAGCCCCGGCCACATCCTGCCACATCCACATGATCATGTACCAGATGATGATTGCTTTGTCGCCGGGTCGCAGCTGCTTTGCTAGAGAGACAAACTCCGCAAACTGTTTCAAACCGCCACGAAACTTCTGTTGATAACCCTCCCTGTAACCTTTAATCCTGGTTTCCTGCTTCGTGAATCATTTGACATTCTTCAGACTCCGAACCCTAAGCCCCTGACCCATACCATACCCCCAACCCCCACACCCAACAATCCAAACACTAAACCCCACGCCTTGGAAGACCCAATCCCCACTGACTGCAACCTACGTCTTGCTTCCTTGCTCTTTTGGGTTGAGCCGATGCTTAAAGCGGGGCCGGGGGGCGTGCAACGCCCGAGACTCGTTCTGCCCAAGGTTGGGATTGGACCTTCCAATGCCCTGTGTTTGGGGTGTAGGTGTTGATTTTGTGCGGAGTTCAAGCCTCAGGGATCACATTAGAGATTCGAAGGATGAAGGTGTAGGGATTCTATGTTGCAGCAGCGACAGAGGCAGGGCAGAGATCCGGTTTCAGTGCGAGGGATTTGTGAGAGCGGGTGGGCTTCTCATCAGCAGGGCTGACATGTTGATAGGTTTTCCAAGCAACTTCCAAAGTATCTGCCAGGATGTTGTGTACTTTGTCCAAGCATGTTTCAAACCATGGCCTCCTTGTTGCGGTTTCTGGTCGGGTGGACTGCCTTCACAGTTCAGTTTTGCCCCACGCAGACAGGCTCAGGAGTAACGCAGCATTCAACAGCAGGAAAGTATAAGGGAGGCCAGGGCGTTCTATTTCAGACATATTGTGTTCTGGAAGTTCAATATTCTTTGGTTCAACGCAAATACGTAGATCATCTTCGAAGTCTGTCAGCATCTTTGTTTCGAACGTGGGCTCGGCCACAAAAATCACACCCGAATCCCTGAACTCTCAGAGGTGTCATCATCATGCCGAAATATAATGTCCTCACATCACACCCCTCCACCTCCATGACTCTTGAATTCTCGGGAACTGGCTTCAATCGCCCAGGCATTGAAGTATCCAAAGGCCCTGGAGATTTCGGAGCATTACGAGCGAAATAGTTGATTAGCTAGGGTTTTTAGAGTTTTTTTTTGTGGGTTGTGGGGCTTTTCTGGTTTGGGTGTGCGCGCTTGGAAAAGAGTGGCTGCCGTTAAGGGATGCTGCGTCGCGTATTGTTTCTTGTTCATGTTACCAACTTGCACAATTCTGGAACATGCCACCACCAAGCCACAAATTCAGGGTGTCTGAATTAAGGGTCAGCAAGCAAATCGAGGTTCGGGGTTTCAGGAACTATAAGATGAGCTACTGTCAATTTTGGGTTTAGGGGCCATCTAGGGCGCAGGCCTTTGCGAAACTTCCCGGCCGACTCGGGGCGTGTAGAGTCCTTTTTTTGATCACCGAGATTTTTGGAAGGATGTAAGCCCCCTGCTTTCTGGTGCTGAAGGGGCGTGCAGGAGCGGATCGCTATAACCGACTATCATGTCCATATTTACCCCAACTCCAGTGCGTATATTCATTCCTCCACAGTTGGACTCCAAAGCCCAAGACCATATTTCTGGGCCCGGGGGTTGAGGTTTGGATTCGCTCTCATTGTTAGCATCCTGCAGTAGTTCAGAGTTTGCGGACCCTATACACGGTTTAGGGTTTAGAGTTTAGGGCCTATACAACCTCGACATAATCCCGGCCTCCATTTTTTGTTGTCCGTGTGCCTTTCCCCTACACCCCATATGTCCCTGCATATCCCTCTGTACCACAATTATACATTCCTAGAGGTCCCCTTAGATTCCCCTCCGCCTTATATGCCCTTATTCAACCCTATATAAGATATTCCGATATTCCTGTATATACATATTTTTCAGTTACATGTCCAGGCATATTCCTATGTACTCCCAGACAGAACCACTCCATTGTCTACAAGTTCTTGCATCCTGGCAGGGGCGCTTACATCAGCATCTCAAAGGTGCGGGGGCTCAGAAACCCGGAGGGTCTAGGGTGTGAGTAGTAAGGGTTTAGGGTGCTTTTGGTTTAGGGTTTAGGGTGTAAGGGTTCAGGGTTGAGGGTTCAGGGTTAGGATTCAAGGTTTCAAGGTTTAGGATTTCAGGCTTTAGGGTTTAGGTTTTGGGGTTTAGGCTTCCTAAGCCCAAAGCTTATTGGCTGAATGTGGGTCTTGCACCCCACAGTTTCTATATAATTAGTATGTTTTTACCTTACATGCATCCTACGATTCAGGAGGGTTTTTTGAGAGGGACCAGCCTGAGATCATCCCATCAACTCTGACAACTAGCCCGTCGTCGAAATAATGTAGACTCGTGATTGATAAGCCAGGGCCTTATCATTGGGATCCCTACTATAATCCGTATTTAAGGGAAGGGGGTTTATCAATTATGGGTCTACATTAGCCACATTGATAATGTGCGGCCTGACAGAAGCAGTCTGGCCCCATCTGGAGCGCGTTCTTCAACGCCTTGCTGTTTTAGCTTCGACGGAGCTGCCACAACAGATTCGGTGGCTTTCTTTTTTTTAGGGACCCACTAATAGTGGCATACTAGGAATATAGAAGGACCCCAATATTATTATTACCATTACCTCTTGTGGTCACTATTACTGGGTGGGGGCCCAACCTAACCTATACCGGAGTGGGGGGGGGTGAATCGGCACGCACAGGATGATCCCTCACTGCAAATGAAATTTTGGTCGGTTGCGAGTCGTGA